CTATAATTAGAGACACATACTAACTTAATAATCATTTATTTTCACTGTACCTAATACCAGTGTTCTTAGCCGGTTTGTAGTCTGTTTGCAGCATTTGTAAATAAGACCTAACGGGACAAAACAGAGTTAGGTGTTTTGGGAACAAGAGTGAACTTGATGGCATTTTAAGGTACCAGTTAATATCCATCTGTCCACAATAATAAAACTTTTTAAATGATATAAAGTTGTCCACCCCTCTGAAACACACATTTATGTAACATGTTCCCATCACCAACATGTTCCACAGCTGAATTATTGATCGAAGCCTTGTGTTCTGCTAATACTGGTGTTAAATATGCATCAGATGATTCGGCAGCCGCGGCCGTAGTGTGACCTAACAAACTGGGAGTTGTTGGAACAATCTGAACCAATCAACCACATCATACACAGTCAAACACACACAGACTCCTGAGCAGGCGCTTTAGTGTCTGTCCTCAGATGCTGAATATGAGTCGCTGCCTGAGTGAGTCTGTGTTCGACAGTTTTTAATTCAGCTTCTGCTCATTTTCAGTTTGTGCTGATGATTTTTCTCATCCCCTACCTGCTCTCACACTGAAGTGCACAGCAGTCCAGTCTTTTCCATTACGCTCTTGTTCCTCACCCACATTTTCTGATAACAGCTCCGGTTGATCACACAGACAAGTTGCATGCTCTTGTGGCTGCCAGTAGGCGGCAGTATCTTTAAGGAACTGGCCTCGGAGCCTTGGTGACCAGGCCTGAGCGAGCACCAGCTCCACCTCAGAGAAGACACAGTGTTTTGAGTTCACTAAAATTAGGATTTGATTATAAATGCAACCTGGGTGCAGAATCCTTGTTAAACAGAAACAGGCGACACTCCTGCCTGGTGCTCTGCATTTGTAGGTGCAGAAATGATTAATTTAAAGTTACATTTTTTTAGACTAACTCTCGATTCAAGTATATGGCACCATGGGGTTTCAGCACATTGAGATTTTTGTGCGTGTGTTGTTAATTGACTGTTTGTTTGTTTATTTTTAGTGTCTGCATAGCAAGTGTGATTTATGGGTGAGAAGAGCCTATTAAATGTTCTTTAAGCTTCACGTGAGCTGAAGTGTCACTTCAGTTGATTTCCAGTCTGTGTCATCTGCCAAATGTATGATTGCTGACGGTGGTGGTGGTGCTGATGATTTTACTTCCCTAGACTGAAGCACAGTGAGTTTATTTCCAGTCAGAGAGCGACTCTGGATGCCGTGGAACCGAGGGACTACCAACAAATAGATTGAAAGATGAGGCAGGAGGAGACAGAAAAGATTTGTGCTGCTCTCTCACTCTAATTGCTTTGTCTCTGGTAATGCACTCCTTAATGCACACTCAGGGCCCATCACACACATACACACACACTGGCTATCATTACCACACAGTCCCATGATGCATCAGTCTCTGACTGTAACATTCAGTAGGGTGTGTTCTCATTTAACAGATAAGAGTGAATGCATGAGATGAGCGTGTATATGTTTGTGTGTGCAGGCAGGCTTTTTATGTTTTCTGTGTTTAGATATTGTGGTGGTGGAGTGGAGACCCCCCACTGTCTGACCCTGTGTGTGTGTGTTTGGCAGAGCGTATTCTTTATGTGAACTTTCATACTGTAACCGCACTGTGCCGTGTTGTTAATGGGCTGAGTGTTCTGTGTGTGCCGGTGGTGTGTGGACACCATGTTGAATGTTGTACCTGCCGCCCACACATTAAGAGGTCGTTGTTCTCTTGCAGTGGACAAAAACAAGCCTCGGGAGGCGCTAGCAAGATCTGCAACCACCAACAGCAGCTCACAGGCGGCAGCAGCTGCAGGAGGAAACAGCCAGAAGCAGCAGCAAGCTCCACCTGACCTGGTACGCACTCTTCTTAATTCACTAAGAGACCATTACTGACCAGGATGTGACTGATGACAAGAGGTATGAGGAGTGTTTTCCACACAGTCCCCATTCTTAGTTTTAATGTGTCTTTATCTGTGGTTTTGTTGCCAGAGAAGCCAACATGCTGACCCCTTCTAAAGTTGTTTTTAAGCTGGCTACATGTTGAGTGAATCTGTTGATAGGCCAACGAGTTAAAAAAAGCTTCTGTACAATAAAATATAATGGGTAGTTTACAAATTAGTCTCTTACATTGCTACAAATTGACCTTTTAACAAACAAGTTAACATTATGATTTCATAAATGGGGCTCGGTGTTTTGAAAAAATTTGTACTGAAAAGGTTTTGTGTTTTTTGTTTTTGTCTAGGTAGCAGATGTGATGAGTCCAAATGCTCCAGTGACACCAGTTCTACCAGTTCCTCTGGCTGAAAACACCATCAGTGGGTCAGGCACCACTGGAGCCTCTGCTCTTGGGTTCAAAGTAAGAACCGGGTCACGATCCAGCCCCAAAACCGGGTCCCGCATACAGAATGCCTGTAAATCTGGGGCGGCCGGGGCTGCTCCCGTGGATGGGACAGTCGCGGCTAAACAGAACCAGAGCAGAGAGCAGGTGGAGAGGAAGAACCAGGCCATCAACCAGCTGAGGAAGCTGCTCATCCAGGGCAATAAGAGAGTGGAGGCTCTGGCGACAGTCATCCAGCATGTCTTCACTGAGGTACTGCAGTTATGTCAGTGTTTACCACAGAGTGAAACTACTCACAGCTCCTGCTGTGCAGTGAAAGTTTTTTAAACGGCATTAAAACATGAAGGGGAACAAACATTTTGCATGTTTATACAGTAACTGGCATTACATCAAACACCATGGTGACAAGGCCGTGTAGTTGTGTGACAACCAGACATGAGTCGTCCACTGCTGCTTGTGGTGATAGTGAACTACCACAGTGTTGGCTGTAGGAATGACCATGCAGGAATCAGCCCAAGCTGCACTGCTTGCACATCAACCACAGTGCAAATGTGGCCTGGTAGTATTTTTTTAATGAATGACTACACAGAGTCTCCTCTTCCCAGGAGAAATGTAAATGACACCTGTAGATTGTGCATACTGATGGAAATGAGTGTTTGAATGCTGTCAGACTGTGGCCAGTGACAGCAGTGGCTGTGTGTGAACACCAGGCTGCAGTCAGCCGTCATTAATGTCTGCACTGCTGTAAGCTTATCTAGGGTGCACCCAGATACACATTCTGATTTGGGGATTGTAGCGAATCCAAGATCAATGTTTGGGTGACGCTTTAGATTTCGAGTGTGACCTGTGTCAGCTTTCAGAGCACCAAAGGGATCATACCACGTACCTGGCCAAGGCACTATGAGAGCACCCTGGTACGGCTGCAGTGTGTCTGATAGGAAAACGTTGCAGCACGTTGGGAGGATGGCTGAGAAGGTCCTCAGGGTCTCGCTCCCCTCCATCCAGGACATTAACAAGGACAGGTGCAGAAAGAAAGCCCTCTGCATTGTGAAAGCCTCCTCTCACCCTCCTAAGGACTGTTTCCTGCCATCTGGCGGCAGATATCACTCCATAGAATCGAGGACAACCAGAATGTGCAATAGTTTCTTTCCACAGTCCATAAGACTGTTGCATACAACAGTCCATATTATGTATCAGGCTTGTTTTATGTCTAATTCCTGGGCCTCCATGGCACCAGCATTGTGACTCAGTGCAGCTAATATAGCCAGCTATCATTTACTTTATTACTTGCGCACCTCGTTTTCTACAATGAAGACATTTTACACACCGTGCACTGGAAACTCAAAACCACTTACAACAAGTAACCTCTGCATACACATAACATTTAGTGCAGTTATGTGTTTACTGATGAAAGGAGCAGATGCAAAGACTGATCTCAGGATTTCTAGAACTGCAGTGAATCTCACAGTTGATATTTTTACACAGCCCTGCTTGTACAGCTGTTAGTGAGAATGTCTCGGATGCTAGCATCTCCCACCGTGCACACCCACCAATAATAGTCTGGTGAATAGGTTATAATGCAGATGCTGTAGCACCACATCACTTTAAAGACATGGTGGGTGTGTTTGTATGTAAATGCAATGTGGGCTAGTGAACCTTCAAGGAAGGCAAATGAGGGTGAAAAATCAGTTACCTGCACACCATCCTTCCCCTTAGGCAAATGAGAGCCCAGCACCCACGGCCTGTATCTAAAGCAGCAGGCAGTCAGCAGGCAGGAGTTGCTATTTGCGGTGCTGTAGCTGATATGCCTGTAGATGAGGAGTGGAGTAATGGCTGTTTTTAGCAGAAAGCACTGAGGCGGCAGGGAGAGGCTTATCCGAGTCCACACCCAGCTCATGATGCCACGGAAACATCCCGCTGCTGGGTGACACCAAGGTGCTGATAGATCTGTGAATGTGTGTGCTCTCAGTTTGTCATGCGTGTCTACTGTGTATACTAGCTGTGTGATTGCGGTTACCTACCATAAGTGCCTGTTGTCAACTATGAAGGGACAGTTCACAGCAGCTGATGTTACCCTGTTAAGGTGTGTGTGTGTGTGCCTGTATGATCTCGAGAGGTTTCTTTGACATGCTCTCTCACGTGTGACACACTTCAGTGAGGCTTGCTATGTCCCGGTCACAGTGGATACATCAAAGCATTAAGGATCTCTGAGGAAGATGTGGTGTCAGAGTGATGACTGATGCAGCCTATAAATATCCAGTGAAGTAAAAGCTGTTTTGTTTCCTTCATAAGACCATGTACAGTTTTGTTCGGCGGTAGAAGGCAGTGGATTCTGAAGGGGGCTGGGTCATCTCTAGTTGAAGGCTGGTGATTGGTTCAGGCACCAGGATGTGTCAACCACAGAACCGGACATGGAGAGGCAGCTCTATAAATATTTACTGTCTGATCAGTGGGACTAGTGAGTCGATGCTTGCAGAGTAAGACAAACACACATTACTGGAACTCCTTATAGTGCAGCCATAATAACTATCATTCAGCTGGGAGCAGTTTATCCACTGTGTACAACCCTCCATCACACCTCCTGTGTGTCACTGAGAGTGTGTAAGCCTATTTTTGGGGATGAGCTCAGCACTTTGCATAGATTTGTTATTCCGCTTCGCCTTCAGTGCGGCTGTCTGGCTGAGCTGGTCACGTCTTCATTGTGGTGGTAGTGTAGGGGCTGGGGAGCATATGGAACACATAACGCTAATGCCTTCAATGAGCAAGAGCTCAGGGTGTGTTTCTAATAGCTTTTACTCAACTTTTCAGAGTCGCTGTATGTTCTGTAGATTTCAGAACTCCATCTGAATTGTTAAACTGTACAACAAGTGTATTAGCTTGTAGCCGCCTTTCACTAGAGATGTGCTAAAGATGATGAAACTCTGTAGTATTCATGTTTGAAATAAATAAATAAATAGCTTTTTTATATATATTTGGTCAAATTTGATCCATAACTACAACTGTCTTTAACTGATTGTATGATACTACAGTACTGAGGCAACAGATAAAACTTGTGATGCCAGAGTATTATTATCTTCACTTGTGTTAACAAAGTAACTAATAAACACAGACACACACAGACACATACAAGGCGACTTGTTACTTATATGGGAACAGTACTAAGATGTGACTTGTGTTATGTTCTTGCTTTCAAGCTAATGAAAATGAAGACTCAGCACACACACCCACTTGCCATCAGTGAGTGTGTGAGACACACAGGACGGCTGTTATCTGCCCGCATTTCTCTCTCAGGGAAAGTAGCTCATTATCTGTAGAGTGACCTGTTATCAGCACGCAACCCTGCACACACAAAGAGTGTGTGTGTGTTACATAAACCTTAGCATCAACCTGATTCAGATAAATGCCCAATTTCATGCAATATTTTCCTGCAGCTTATTGTGAAAGTGTGTGATTGTAACATGTACCGGTGAGCTGAGAGGGAGCAGCCTCGTCTGCTGGGCTATCGATTAGCAGAACAGTCTGGTGGAAAGTGGGGCTGAAGGGGGATGATGGATGGGAGGGAGGGTGGGAGGGCGGTGGAGGAATGCAACAGCTGCAGTTAAAGCTTTGATTTGTGCATCAGGGATTGTATGTATGTGTGTGTGTTGTATCCAGAGCATGAATGCCTCTGCTATCTAATCTGTCCTACGCACTTGAAAGGTGACTGGTGAATATAAACACCTCCCACCGAGCTGTCTTTCCCTGAGGGTGGGAGGTGGGCGGCCTGTTTGGTTTAGTGAAAGGAGCTGCAGCTTTAGTTTTGGGAGGGTGGTGTTATCCAAGTAGTCCACTATTAAAACCCGTACTGGCTTTTCAGGACACCCTCTTAATTTTGTGCACTGTGTGAGTGTTTCATATGCTGGCAAACATAAATGGCAGCAAGCGTGTGGCTAAAATGTCATGTGTCTTTTTTAAGTTAATTAAGCAGCTTGAATTTTTATGGACACACCTGATTTTTTGGTTTTGCGTTTGCATCTCCACTTATTCTGGCAAAATGTAGATACGGTTGGGAAACCAGTCTACTCAAAGCTACATTTAAACTGACAGATCCTCTTTTCAAGTGTTAGTAGAGTTTTGTGTTTAACTTTGACAGCAAGAGAACAGAAACTTTAGCTTGTACCTGTTAGAAAGAGATGGTCCCATAAACTGTCTTTAACACTGAGCAACGTGAGTTCTTGTAATGTCAGTGTTAGACCGAGTCAAAGAAAGCTGGAAGTTGGAAAAGAGGAAAGAATTAAAAGCAGATACACCAGTTTTATGTGTAAACGACTGATAGCGAGTAAGAGAAATACAAATAAGATTAGAGACAGGAACACAAGAAGGTGGTGCAGAAATAACTTGCATTCCTCTGTCATACCATGTCCTGACAGAGGAGGGGGAGCAGATGGAGGGAGGAGGGAGGACAGGGAGCTCTGTGGTGAACAGGTAGCGAGTGGGAGGAGTGGGAGCGGCAGAGCGAGCAGCCAGTAACACACAGACAGTGAGAGAGAGAGAGAGAGAGTCCACTGGTGACAGAGGGAGGGAATCGGAGAGAGTGAGCCAGGGCTGAAGAAGCCAGAGAGGAGCACATTTGTTTGAAGTGTGAGCGCTGTGTTTGTGTTTGCGTATGAGTGCGTCTTTGTTCACCGAAACATGGGCTCCGCAGCCAGCAAAGCCCACGCAAAGCCCAGGAAGGTCCCTTTTCATCGCCGCAAGAAGAAACGCAAGGTGTGTGTGTGTGTGTTTACCGGTGTAGTTGTGTGTCTGTCAGTCACAGCTGTGCTCGGCTCTCCAGAGGAAACGGAAGGAACTTTACTGTCAGGTCACTGTACAGGAATCTGGCTGAAAGTATTTTCCACCTTCTCTGACACGCTCAGTGTATCAGCTGCTGCTTTTTAGTCCAAACTGAAAAAAAAACATGGCACTGCCTCATGTGACTCCTTAGCGCACTGTGCTATGACACTTTTGTCACTGCTTCTTCGCTTTTGCTTTGCCGGTTTTATTGTTGCTGCAAGAAACGGTGACTTTCTCCTTTTTTATTTGCTCTTTGGCTTAACAAGCCCCTCAGAGACCAGATGGACTTTATGACTGTGTGTGGAAGTAAGAGAGCAGACTCACAGGTTTTCAGTTTCCATGGTAAAGTCCACTGCTTTTGTTGTTAAGTTGCTGTTAATTTATGTGTGTGTGCTACGCAGATGTTGTGGCAGTTCATTCAGGTGGGACTAGCCAGTAGGTTTGGAGCTCAGCAGTCCACTTTGATGCACTCATCAAGTTGAAGTGTGTAGTTGTCCACTTTACACACGTGTGTGTTGTGTAGACAGTGAAAGGAGTGGTGCTGTCTTACCTATCAGTGCTGCTCTCGCTGTGGGGCTGGGCTCTCAGGATGGTATTTGTTCATCCTTAACTGGAGTTTTGAAGTTTTACCTGCCCAGTGAAGTCTTTCTCTGCTTGTTAGTTCAGTCACTGCTGTAGCTGCGAGACTGGATGTTTGCAGCCACGCTACTGTGTTGACTGGCTCAGCCTCTGTTCACCAGGAGCCACTGGTTGTTGTACTGTCACAGCCCTCCAGCTGCAGCTGACCTTTACAAAACTTCCCTATGAATCCGGTGACTGTTACAACAGCAGACGTCTGTCAGGCTGTAGCTGAAACAGTCCACTGTTTACTGCCGTATGTCGTCCACTACATGGTGCGGTGCCTTTTCATATTGATGTCCAAAACCTGCACTTTGTGTAGTGGACTGACATGACCCCACACTGGCCACTGACTGAGAGCTAACTACCACAGTGACAATGGGAGGAAAACGTTTAAAATGAGTCTCCTCTTTTGTGCAGCGAGAGGAGGCCTTGAAGCAGAAGAAGGAGCTGTCGCTGGAGCTTGCACACCTCCGAGATGAGCTGGGTAAGGAGTTTCCACACGCTCTCATGCTACCGAGCGCCTGCTCGTACCCCTGCACATTCTTTCTCTTTTGTTTGTACATGACACACATGCAAAGCTTATCAAGGACAGGTCAACTGCCATTCAAAACCTGGTGTTGTTCGCGCTGTAATGCTGGTGCAGCTGCTGCTCATTCAGAAATGGCCCAGAGCCTCCACACACGCTGTAACCTATCAACATGTCTGTCATCAGCACAGCGTACCTGTGTGCACGAGGACTAACACCGACAGGTTGTTAGGAATTGAATTTTGATACAGTATGTTGAATTAATCACTGTAAAGTTAAACAACCAAAAGCAGTGACAGCTCGTAGCAGTTTCCACATTTCATTTGGCAACGTCTGAGCCACCTGGTTAGACTGGAAGGAAATCTGGTTGCATTGCTTTAAAGCACAAAGCAGAAACAGTAGCTCTATGGCCCAAAACAGTACATTGACAGTTTGTCAGACTGAAATAGTTTCACTGTTTAAATAATTTATATTTCCACTGGTGTTCGTGTCAACGGTGGCGTTCTCTTAACCCCACACACTGAGCCACTGCTTTTCAGAAACATCTCAACTACTTAACTGAACGTCCAACATAATTGCAGCAGATGAGTCTGACAAGAATAACAAGAGATGATCCACCCAGTGACACCATAGAGAAATGTTGAGAAAATGATTAGGAAGCAGTTTCTGTGTCTACTGTTCATGTGTGTGTGTGTTGGAGGTGTGTTAGTATGCGCCCTCTGGCAGACTGCCAGTAAACTGTCAATGAGACAAATCATTGGTTAAAAACAAAGTATTTCTGAAGAAAAGAGGAAGAAGACCTCCAGGGCAGAGCAAGTACATGTGATGATTTCTCTATGGGTTATGTCCATCTGCTCCCAAAGTGATGACAGCCCACCACCTCAGCACACACCCTTCAACAGGAGCACAACTTCACATACGTGTTCCTGAGATGCAGGTTGTTTATTGGAGGATTTGTGATGTACCAACATTTAGATCACAATATCTGAATGAATGGAAAAACATGACACTTTATATTGGTATGCATGTCTTTGGTGAGCTGGGAGTGTGTGTCGGCGCAGTAGCAGTTCAGCCTGTTTGGCTGATGCCATTAGAAGAGATCACACACACACACACAGCAGTATATTGAAAATAACCCTGCCTGTAATTTAAGTATATCAGAGTATGTGAGAACACACACAGACACACACACTTGCTCTGAATACCATCTTAAATTGGGCTTCCATATATACACCATCACGCTGCACATGCCCAGGCTCCACACACGCACACACACACTCAGAAACACACAACAGAAGAGCACATCTGTGGAAGAAAACCCAGCACGGACAGTAAAACAGCCCCTCTGTCCACTGTCCGTCTGTCCACCACGTTGTGCAGCAGTGACTATGACCTTTTCTTTTCTGCACGTTTGACCTTTGGCTTAACTCTTCACACACAGAGCTGAGGAATGTCAGCAACATACAGACTCCTGCTGTCACTCCACACACACACACAGAGCTCAAACTGCACAGGAGCAGCCTGTCCCTGTCTCACTGGGTAATGTCTGCTGGTTTAATGGTTTTCTTGTGAAGTTCAAGAGCATAGAATTAGTGTAACATAACTGTTAGGATCAGCTCGGGGCTTCCTCTGCTGCCACACCAGGCTCACTTCTCCTGACAAGTTTGTTTTGCATGGAAATCTAGTGTTTCAGAAAAGGTGTGTGGGACAGGTTTCTGCTGAGTCAACAGCAGGCGGGCATCTTATTTGATCAGTATTAACATAAGTAGAAACTGTTCATGCCTGAGGCACTGTAAACCTAAACCTGTCCTCTGGATGTTTGCTGAATGTGATGTTCTGTCAACAGGAGGGATAAAGTCAAGAAAACTTGAGATTACATAAAGCAAAAACCTCTGTGTCTGCAGGCAACAATACAGTTCAGCCTGTGGCTTGAAGACGACTGGCTTTGTTCCGAGTCAGGCTCGTTCCCTTCATTTTAATCAGTTCCTTGTTCCTCCGGCTTTCCTGCATTCACACACTTATGTTTTCAGTTCTGAATCAGAAGCAGGCTCTGTCATACTGGACAGAAGAAGGGCGTTCTCTCCTGAGGTTACGTCATTGTGTTACGCTGCCACCTGCCAAGCGCCTGCTGCGCCTCGCTCTCACACACACATCGGCTGAAATGTCCTCACAGCAGTGGTTTCAAATTGAAATTTCTCCACATGACTATTGAAAGACATGTACACACACTCACACCCACACACAGTTGTGTTTAAGTTGCACTCAGCTGTCATCAGCTTTGTGTCCCCTCACGGTGACAGATGTGCACACTTCTAGGGCCCCATTCAAAAGGAAACAGCACCTGTCCCACCAGTTGTTGCCACATGGTTTTAGAAGTTAGAATATTATTATTACAGGCGGAGTCACCGTGCTCATCCAGGGTGGTTTTTGGCCACATGTACCCGTCCAGCGGTAGCATCTTTATGCCCCTGGTGGATGATTGGCTGTGCTGTTCCATGCTAACAGCAAAGACATGCTCACACACTGTTTCACAGTGTGTGAGCCAGAGCCAGCTAGCCCAGGTGCTCCAGTTTTCTCTTTACCTGGACATTTTCCCAAATACTTCAGACTGGAAATATTTCAATACTGAAGTCAAAATGATATGTGATGCTGGGGAGAGATGTAGGGGAGTGTGTGTGTGCTTGTGAAGGTTGAAATGAGTCACAACAGGCATGAGTCCTGCTGCATACTTCAGAGCTGACTTGCAGATGTTTCATGGGTTGGATCGCAGCTCTACCGTAAGAGTTATTAAACTGGAATGTGGTTGTCAAAGAATGTCAAGGAACACACACACACAGAAAATCTGTTCCTCATTACCTGTCAAGACACAGACCGCGTGAAGCGTCTTATCTCAGTACAGTCTGGACTGACACATGATGATTGTGTGTTAGACACAGTGATCGAGAGTAAAACTGTAAACAGTCAACACAATAGTTCAGTTACATCAAGTGTCTGCTCCCCTCACGTCTGCACACACAGAGGTTTCTAACTGAGATCAGACTTTGTGTCCTAAACAGCTGATTCCTGACCTATTCAACCAGTCAAAACCAAGAGAAGTCAAACCATGTGGACTAGGTGGACTCAGTCATCCTAGATTTTGTCTTCTCATTGAAACATGAAACAATGTTTATTTCATTAGATGATGTCATAATTAAGAAAATGGCACGTGTTCCAAGAGAGTAGGGCTGTCGAAGCTCATGTGCACAGGTGTTGTTTCCCCACTTGGTTCTTGTAAAAATTTCACAAAGGTTTTGTAGATTTTATTGTTTAATAAAGGTTCACCACACATTTCAGAAGTACCGGTGATTACTAAACTAGATGTTTGAGTTTTTGCACCGACATGCAAACTAACATGTCCTCCTGCTCTTCTCGCCTCCGTCCAGTCACGTCGTCGCAGTGCTGCGAGCGTCTACAGAAAGAGAAGGAAGAGGTGCGCTTCAGCTTGGAGGAGGCTTTGAAGAGGCTGCAGGATGAGCACAAGGAGGAGCTGGTGCAGCTGGAGGACAGGTGCGGCAGTCATGTCTGCTGATGGGACTAGAACTCCTCAGTGTTTGATTTGATTTGATTTGATTTATTCTTTCAAGCATGTAAAGACAGTTGATATGTCAACACACATAATTTTACACATATCCAACAAATGCTAATCCAATATCAATTTGCTTATTATACCTAGTACATGCTTGAATGGAGTAGGAAGAAGAAGAGAGAATTTATCATCAACTATGACACCTAGAAATTTGATTTCATATACTTGTTCTATATTAGCTCCCCCAATTTTCAATTGAAGTTCATTATCTAGTCTACGATTCCCAAATACCATAAATTTAGTTTTATCCAAATTCAGAGATAGTATATTACTGTCACACCATTTCTTTATCTTCTCAAGTTCCTGTGAAACCCGTCCAGAGAGTTGCTGTAGGTTTTCACCCGATGCCCATATGGTAGTGTCATCAGCAAACAAAACCACTTTCACTAAATCAGAAACCTTGCATATATCATTAATGTATAGTATAAATAATTTAGGTCCCAAAACAGAACCCTGAACAGCTGTTTGGAAATGATTGTTTGCACTGATGAAACTGTTTTCTGAATGCAATTTGTGTGTGTGTGTGTGTGTGTTAGACTGAGGAGTTTCTACCAGACAGAGTGGGACAAAGTCCATCAGACGTACCAGGAGGAGGCTGACAAATGCCGCATGTTGATGGAACAGCAGGTCAGAGCACACACAAGCACAGACACACTCACACACTCTTTTAACAAAGTAATGTCACCATCCTGTTGTGTGTAACACGTAGTGGCCTGTTGGGTAAAAGGTTCTTCAGCATGCATCTCTCCAATAGAGCCAGGATTGAACTTGAAAAGCGGCGAATATGGCACTCCCTCCCACAATGCAACATGGCCTGCAACACATGGAATTGATGATTGACTCCCTGCCTGACGGGGTGCAGGACAGCTGTACCTGCTGTCCATGTGTTTGCTCTGTGTTTGGCTGCTCAGCTCTCTGAAGGATGGACATTACTGTCTTTGAGTTATTTTTAAGTCCACCGTCAGAGACAGCGTCCCGCCCTCCTCAGCCTGCGCTCTGACTGGGTCCCAGGAGCTCAGGGTGCCTCACACCACTGGTTTAGCGCCTCCTGCTCTGCACCTGTGTGGAGTCTCGGTGTCTCACACTGATTGGATTCAGTGCATACCTCGCATCTTATCACAGAAAATCTCTACCAGTGATTTATGGCTGTTGCCATGGTGATGTGTCTGATGCAGCTCATTGCTGTTAACCACGCTGCAGCATGAACACGAGTGTAAGGCTCAAATAACACGATGATCCGCAGTTACATGTTGAGCTGACAACACGATCAGATACTTTCCACACTTTTCATGCATGCTAGAAGCTGGAACCAGTTCACATGACACTTTAATGTGCCTGTCTCCACTGTCTGCACTGTGTGCGTGTGTCTGCTGCAGGGGCGCCTCCCGCTGTCCCACAGAGACTTCGAGTCAACAGTCTGTGTAGTGTAACAGGAATGACAGTGCTTTTTCTAACATGTAGTAGCCAGATAGCAGAAGCTCAGACTAGCAGTACCACTGGTGCCATGGCGTCAGCGTGTCGTGCTCCCCGGGTGTGATTTGGCTTCACACCGCAGTGATTCCTCTGCTCTCTTCAGGTGGAGGCGCTGAGGAGCCGACAGGAAGCAGAGAGGAAGAGCCAGGAAGCGAGTCACAGCCAGAAGATGGAGTCTCTCAAGCAGCAGTATGAGAGCTCCATACAAGGTGTGTGCAGAACCACTTTTACAGCTCAGTATTAGAAATCTGTTCACAGCTGAACGCTGAGCTCCACACAACTTCCCTCACGCCATGGATTAAAGTGATCCACAGTTTGTGTGACCTCATGTGGTTGCCTCATGTTACTGTGTGTGTATGTTTGTGCATGTCAGAGCTGAAGACCATCCAGCAGACAGAACTGGAGAGCCTGGAGAAAACACTGAAGGAGACTGAAACTTCTCTCTCAGTAAGACTCGTCTATAAGTTTTCATTTTGAAACTTAAATTTCCGGTAAATAGAACCCTACTGTTCTTGATGCAGTGTGTACGGTACAGTGCAGTGAGTATTAACAATGTGTAAAATGTGCGTCTGCATTTGAAACGACCTGTGCCTAAGCAGTGAGTGTGCTGTATGCATGTAGCTGACACGAGCAGCCGGTCTCTCTCTCCATGGAGACTTACAGTGCAGCAGTCAAACCAGAGATGTTTCCAGTTTGGTTTCGAAAGATGCTTCCTTGCTACCCACCAACAAGAAAAATCCTAAATCCTATTTCTATGACAATATGTCTGGTTTGTTTGGCAAGTGTTTCCAGGGAAGTGGTGAAATAAGTGTCTGTACATCCTAGATCTGCACCGTGCAGTGTGTTTGCTGATAAATCCCTCTTCACTCAAAAGTTAACCTGCTGCTGTTTTTGTGTGTGGGTGTGTCTGTGGCGTCTGTGGGCCGAGGCTCGGTGTTCACTCATCAGTGACATGTGTTTGTGTCCTTCTCTGTCTGCACATCTCTGCTTCTTACCAGGAAAAGATCTCTGAGCTGTCAGCAGAGAAGCAGGCTCTGAACGAGCAGCTGCAAGCAGAGGAGGAGAAGAGGAAGCGGATCCTCTCTGACAAGAACCTGGTAAGGCATGATGCATAGAGACGTTTGGAGGTGGGGTGGACGCCGGTGAAGTTCATAAAGGGAGATCAGCTAAGTGGAACATATGCGGTGTTGTGTACATGGTACACAGAATGACAGGCAGACAGGACACTGTCCCATTAGATTCCTCCCTTAGCTGACAAACACCGGCACATTCCTTCTTACCTATAGTGACTTGTAATGTGCGTTGTTGATCAGTGTGCCTGTCACCAAAGCTATTTGTTGGTTTGTCTGTGCAGAAGGACTCCCACACAGTGTACCTGGAGCAGGAGCTGGACAGTCTGAAGGTGGTGCTGGAGATCAAGAACACCCAGCTGCACCAGAAGGAGAAGAAGCTCATGGAGATGGACAAACTGGTGGGCATCAGCCTGTCTTTGTGTTACCAGCTAGGAGAAGAAGTAGCCCACACTGGTTGAAACGCTTTCTCACAAGTGTAACTTTTGGAGAAAAAGTTGTTACTTATCAACTTTTGTACATTGTTTCAACATAAACATAGTCAGACTGGAGGAGTGTGAATTATGAGCCCAAAACGTGCAGGACAGACATTTTGACCTTACTCTGGTGAATTTGGTTTATGCATGTAGGAGCTTCCATTGAACCAAATGTAGGTGTGAATGTGTGCGTTTGTGTTGCAGGTGGAGGTTAATGTGAAACTGGAGGAGTGTGTGAAGAAGCTCCAACAGGAGAACGAGGACTACAAGGCCAGAATGGACAAACACGCTGCTCTCTCCAAGTACGTACTGCCTGACAGACAGAAAACTGGGAGCACACTGCTTTGTAGGGACCGGAGGCCGGGCCCCACCACTAATTTGTCAAATTTTACAAAAATGACGAGGTGTAAGGTCAGAGCAAGTGTTGGCTTTGGCTAAGGTTAGAGCAAGTCTCCTGGAAATGAATGTAAGTCTATGTAGGGACCCTGTAGGTGACGACCACAGTCTGTGTGTGTGTGTGTGTGAGGTGAGGGAGTGACTCATCTCTCTGCAGAGGCATCAGTTCTGCCATCTCTTCTCAGCAGGATTTTTCAGTCTACCTGCCTCCTGTATTTTCTCCATGTCTCTCAGTTACTCCATGATCTGTCTGCATCAGACAAAGCTCTAGGATAAGTTTGCCCAGAAGACCAGGTGGGATAAAGCTGAACCCTCTGGGACAACTCAGTGACTGCAAACTAGTTCATGTCAGTGTACGACTCAGTGAAACACATTTAAATTGTTAAGCTTCATATGAAATAAGTGCCTCATTCCTGTCATGTACACTGGCTTCAAAAGCATTTAGACTCCTTCACTTTTTGCACACTTTGTGTTGGAGATTTAATTTTAAATGGATGAAATTCTGGGTCTCCACTTTATAACCCACAGTGACAAAATGAAAACACATTTAGATGTTTTTGCTATTGAAATGCCATTCAAATGAAATATTATTTATTCAAGTAAAGACAGTGAGATACAGCTCATGGCTTTTTTGTGGATTTCTCCTAACATTTGCCTTTCCTTTAACTCGTCATATCTGAGACAGAACAGTATACTTAGCCTCAGACCGGAGCAATGCAGTGATCCCAACACCAGCCACATGAAGGAAGTGTTTTCTGTGCAAGGAAAATATCTTTAAACTGATAAATAATGTGAAAAAGAATCACCTGAGCCCGTGTATCATGTGTATTGTTCTGTGATTAGTGTGTCATCTGACCAGTGGAGACATGGCCAGCCTCTAGCTTTAGCCTTAGGTGGTGCAGAACTGACCAGTATGGAGTGGCTTTGAAAATCCAGCCTTTATACCCTGTCTGCTGTGACTCTGGTAGCCAGGTAGCATGTGCCTTCCTGCAGCCTATTACAGCTCTCTGTCTCCCCCTGCAGGCAGCTCTCCAATGAACAGGCCATACTTCAGCAGACGCTGCAAAAAGAGTCCAAGGTCAACAAGCGTCTGTCCATGGAGAATGAGGAGCTCCTGTGGAAGCTGAACAATGGCGACCTGCTGGCGAGTCCCCGCCGTCTCTCCCCCACCTCCCCCTACAGCTCACCGAGGAACTCTGCCTCCTTCCCCTCTGCTGCACCCTTATCGCCTAGATAACCCCACACAACATTAACCCCGTCCTCTTCTCTGAGCAAGGGTGGCGGTCGTTCCAAATGCAGAGAGAGACTGCAAACACAGCAGTGGAATAAACTGCATTAAAAATGTTTATTTTGAAAGCGAAAGCCGCTGCAGAGGCACCAATGCACTTCAGCCAGCATGGGACTGGCTTCGCTCCTTCAGTCTCTAAACTCCTGGTTCCAACCATCCTTTCTTCTTTTCTCTGAAGAAAACTGAATAGGTGGCACACCTCAGGGTCTGTACATAGCGCCTCGCTCTGGTTATGACTACCTTTACCTTTTTGTTTTCTTTAGTTATGTTGTACAGCTGAAGATCTTTTTATGCCCCTCTTTCTCAAGAGATGGGCGAGGAAACACCTTGACTTTGTGGTGGATGCAGGTTTGTGGAAACGGGCTCAGAGTTGTTTGGGAAATCATGAATAAAAACATAAACTCAACTTGTGTTTTCTTTCGATGCACGTGCCACATATGCAGCCGTGCAGAGGTTGTTTTGTGTTTTGTCAGATCATAAAATGACGGGTACTTCCTGGTGGATTTGCATGAACTGTTTTGCCTTTTCCCTTCATTCAACACTTTTCTTTCCCAAAGAGCGAAGCTCAATCACTGGTCCTCGTTGGACCTCTGGAAGAAGTGAAGAATTTCATGTCCTCCTTTGGACAAACAGGATCTAATGCTCTGTGTATCTGAGAGACTGACCTTGTGTTATTGACACCGATGTTTGTTCCTCCATGCAAGCTCCTCACAACCTCTACCTTAATCTACTATGTGGAATGTAATCACCCTTGGATGTTAAATCTGAACAAGGCAGTTCAGACACACACGCAGAGCCAAACATGCAGTTTATTTAACAAGGAGGGTGCTGGCCAGAGCAGTATTTACCCTCCTTCCATGTACTCTTTTCCTTAAATCTCCCTTAAGGAGATAAAATTCCCCAGCCTTCTTTTATCACCACCTTGTGCCCAAGCAGAAACAAAGCAAAGCTGGAGCAGTGACTGGCAAGTTAATATCTGTCTTTGCTTTGGGTCATGTATAGAATCACCCATCAGCACTCATTTCCACAGAGAAACCTCTACCTGACAGACACTGGCCTCTGTTTTACTGAATCCAAAAACGATCACTATGTTTATCTGTTTGTTCTGGAACGCCTCAGATGTACCTAAATTGCCTCAGTGTACCATGTTCAGTTTTATTTTGGATGCAGAATAAATACAATATGACATATGATTAAAGCAGTATTGTTTTATTTCAAATAATAAAATGAATGCAGTGGTATGTATTTTTGAAAAATTCAAAAAGCAGGAAAACAGGAAAGTGCTAAGTGAGATGTCACTGACTTAAAGGCCTGTTGATCTTGTAATGATCGGGAATCAAGTCAAATATGAGAAAAAAGAAAATAAAAGAAAAGCTTTTCATCTCGATTAAGGAAAGACAAGTTACTTCCACACCTGCTTTCAGCCTGTCGGCCATGAGGAGGGCCGGTAACACCTGTGATGAGGAAGTGGTGAAGGAACATATAAACACAGATGAAACGTCTGGCCGCTGGTAGTTGTTGTAAATGGTGTATTGTTATTCTGAACATGTCCCCTTGTTTTTCTCTGTCCATTAACACATACAGTATTCCTATTCACTAAATAAAGTACCAAAGAAAGAGTAACACTGAAGTATCTGTCCATGTTACTGTACCTTCTACCAGCTGAACAACTGTGACATACTGTGAATAGAAGAACATGTACTTTAGGACCTGTGGTGGCCTAAAGGCTAGAGAAATGAGCCTATGATCAGAAGGTTGCCAGTTCAATCCCTGGGCCAGCAGGATCAAAAATGATTAACCCCCACCTGCTCAGTGATCAGTCTGTGGTTCTCCTGGGCTGCTTCCAGATGTAAATGTGATCAGGGTGTTTCTACAGAGAAGAGAGAGGTGGCCTCTCAGAGAACTAACTTTGACCCCACCTGACAGTAAGCCTGGACTGGTCCATTTCTGCTCTGACAGAGAGATGGATCGTGATGAGCCAGGGCATTCTCTGCATTTCCTGTGCACTCTCCCAAATGTAGCTGTACTAATCGTGGGGGCTGGAGCTAATCCCATCTGACACTGGGCAAGAGGTGCTGTACACCCTGGGCTGACACACAGACCGCTCACACCTACAGACAACTAACTACAGGCTCCATCTAATGGTCAGAGTAAATAGTCCACTGACAATAACTTCACCTAGTTATTGTCAGGGAAGGCACAATGTTTCAGTTATGAATGTGTGTTTTAATTTGAGATTTCATATTCTCCAACATCAACAGCTCCACTAATCGTGTAAATACTGTATGTTGCATTTGTGCTCAGTGTTGTTAATGTGCCTCTATTTGTACATGTTTAAAATTCTTTATTGTTACTTTGTTGTTTTTATGGTGCCTGAGGAAAACAGAGAGAGGGAAATAAAATTTATGAAGACATCAATATGAAGCATGGCGATCCTTTGAATCAAACTAGAACCTAACCAGTGCAGCTACAGTGAAAACGTGTCTCTAACATGGCCGACGATTGAATTAAGCAGTGAAGACAGGCCTTCAACAGGCCTGTTAGGTTGGACTATGCTAACATTACCTCTATAGTTTATGGACATTGTGAAAGTAAAAGACATCCTGTTTATTAAGGTGAAAAGTAACGAGGTTGCTGCTATAGTTTAAACCCTACTTAACTGGTGTCATTGGTATGTATTCTAATGGTGTTCTGATGTGATATCTCAATTGCATAGTCAAGGGAGCACATTGAGAGGTTCAATTGAGATTGAATGTTTGAGTTAAGAGTAAGCACCTGGATCACTAACAGTTACATAGCTGTTAAGGTTATATGAACAAAGAATATTATGCCTTTCTAAAACATGTACAATGTCAGTTCATGCAGAAAACTCACAGGGTGATGTAAACAGTGAACAAATTGAGTTTCTCTAAGTAGAACTGGTTAATGTCCTGATGCATGTGGGATGGACCCCAAATGCAGACACAGGGAACAGGAGGGTAGAAATAACAGAAAGGAGGTTACTGGATGAGATAAACTATGATGGGTGGTGAGGAGGTCGAGCAAGTAAACCTGCTGTCAAAAATTACTCATCTGTTTTGTGTGATTAAAGAGATGAGAAGCTGCCCTGGAAGCATTACCAGCCTTGCTAGTCGGACTTACTAGGGTGCGGAGCTCAGACATCCAGAAGGGACTCAGAGTAGAACCTCTGCTCCTTCACATCAAAAGGAACCAGCTGAGGTGGTTCGGGCATCTTATCGGGATGCCTCCAGGGGGCCTCCCTTTGGAGGTCTTCTGGCCATGTCCATCTGGTAGGAGACCCCAGGACAGACCCAGAACACACTGGAGAGATTCTACATCTCACCTGGTCTGGGAAGGCCTCGGAATCCCCCCAGAGGAGCTGGGAGGGGGACATCTGGACTACCTTACTGCACCTACTACCACTGTGAGCCGACCCCGGATAAAGGCTAGAAAATGGATGGATGGATGAAAAAAAATCAATAAAATAAATAATAGTCAATCGGGAAATACAGTATCTTTGAATTTGGCTATTTCTGCATTTCTACAAATTCATTCATTTATTTTCACTCGTCTATTTTGGTTAAATGTCAGCACTTATTCATCCATCCCTCCGTTATCTATACCGCTTATCCTGAAGAGGGTCGTGGGAACTGGAGCAAGAGGCGGGTACACTTTGGACAGGTCACCAGTCTATCAGGGCCACTTATTTCAGAAAGTATTTTATTTATTTATCCTTTATTTGTTTAATAAAATGAGTATGAATTAAATATTCATTTGTGTTTTATAGTTCCAGGTAGTCTACGGACTCCTCAAGTGCTGTAATTTTCCGTCCCCCACATTATATGAGCTGTCCTGGCCGTACAGTCAGACAAATGTTACAGCAAAATATCAGCATGGTATTTATATTCGTACATGTTTTCACAAAGTACACAAAGCACTGGAATACACGAGTTTACTGGTAATGTTTAACACTAGAGGTATATCAGACGAGATCGCTTTTATTTATGTAAAAAAAAGTGGAACTTAACTGGGCTGAGAACTGAGTACAAAACTGCGACTCCGGTGGGACTCGAACCCACAACCTTTGAATCACTCCTCAAGTGCTTGACTAGAAGTCCAATGCGCTATCCATTGCGCCACGGAGCCACCTGTTGAACAACCCAAACGAAAAGATAATAAACTCCATCCGTATCACTTTCTCATAACGGTTTCTTTTGTTTAATGTTGCGTTACTAAAAGACATTTTGTCTTGCTAATACCGCGACAGCACTCTACAGAAAAATATGGGAACGACTACACTGAGTTAGCAACAGTCACGGAACTGATGAAGGAACCACATCCGAGCTGTCTTCGTGAGCCTCGTTTTGTTCTGGGCTGCTAATGTTGCATTTTGCATGGAATCCACACCTGGATGCCGACTATTGTAGCCCAAAGTGACTTAGCGCTCTTTATTGCAGAGGCCGCTGCAGGGAGAGGCGCAGCAGATCGTCCCCCTGGCTGGACCGCTCTCCCCCTGGCTGGGCCGCGCTCCCCCTCACCCCTGGAGCCGTTCAACGCTACATGGGAGGAATCGTTGTCAAAGACGCTGATGTGTTGTTGTAACGAACAGCTGAACTGCGTTGCTTATTCTCCAGTCCTTCCTTTAGAAGATATACAGAATAGTTTTGCAGTGTATTCCAGCGCTGCAGCAGCACAGCACACAAACCCGATGACTTCCGGTTTGTGCAAGCCTTCACAATAAAAGGGCGAGCGTGTGAGATCTGTCACGCTGAATCAGGCCTCATGTAAAGTGAAATACAGTTTCTATTCACTGTAGGTAGAGGTTACACCCGCACATAGAGCAGCGTGCCTTCAAACGATTCCCGTGTTGCAGTAGTAAGGGCCCATCTTCTAATTCACAAGCTCTTCAAAATCAGGCACTTAATACAGACAACACAGATTAGTAGTACAGATTTGTGGCTTTATTCGTCTGAAGAATACCACAACCTGATGCCATATTGTGACAATGCGTTTAGAAATTCACCCTATTCATAGCTTTCTTTCCAGGTTCACAATAACAAGTGAGAATATTGATCACTACCAACTATTTCAGATTTCTGGTAAACCTAAAATCTATCCTTGAGAATTAAAAAAAAAGAAAAACTTTAAAATGTGTATTCACAGGTGGCATTTCTCCTATACTAACCATTTGAGTGCATTATTGGCTAATTCTAACCATGGTACATTTTGAATTAAAATGGCCCCATGGGATCACCAAATGAAACCATGACTGATCCTTTAACTGACCATCCTGACAGATTCCATGTATTATAAATATGTGGAGAACCTTTCAAAGCTTTCAAAGTTTTACACGTTTTTGATTCCATGTGAAATTGGACTGAAAAGTTCAAAATGTTGAGGTTGTGTAGAAAGAAGGGCAAAAAAAGAGGAGTCCATTTATTGTATATAATAGAAATACTTTTTAATTTGAAGGTTCAAGCATGTCATAAACAAGATATTTAAAAATGCAGATTTAATTTTTATTGTCACTCAGACTGTCTCTCATTCTCTCTCACACACCAGACTAAACACAGAAAAACAAAGTGACTAGAGATTCTGCTGGATTAAAACGATCCATCATAGATTCACCTCAAGATCACACACACACACACACACACACACACACACATTGTGCACACACATACAAGACTAAAACAAGGAAAAACAGTGACTGAAGATTCTGCTGGATTAAAATGATCCATCGTGGATTCACCTCAAGAGCACGCGCAGACACCATTCACTTTTCTGACACAAAGAGAAAGTTCTGCATCGAATGTGGAGGGTGGGGGGGTGTGTGATGGTGATGTCTGTAGTAACTTCTACCTGGACAAAGCAGAGATCCTGAGAAAGGCCAAAAAAAAGTATTAGTACACCTAAAGTTGGTGCAACAGTGACAGAACATGTCCATGTGAGCAGATGTGATTTATCCCAGTGGATTACTGTGACATCAACTGAATAAAAAAAACATACCACAAATAAACCTGATGTGCTTCAAAGCTTTTTAAAGGAGTAACACGGTGAATGCTGTTTTCAGTACAATCCTGTTTTCTTTCTACTGACTTGTCCAGCCACAGCTGTGTGTGCATGATGGCATAACTCACTGTAGCTTGTCCTGTAACTGCACGAGGCTTTGTCGATCGACGTAGCGGGAGAAGAGGGAGAGCAGGTTGGGAGGGGTGAAGAGGGGAGGAGAGAGGGACGAAGAGGGAACGGTGAGCAGCTCCCTCGTCACCGAAAACACTAACTCGGTCCTGAACACAGAGACGGGGTCAAGGCAGGTTAATGGAGAGCAAAGGGAACAAAGCCATTATAGGGTGTGTTAAGTTGGCACATGGAAGTAGGTGACACCAAACAGCCTACCATCGATTGTCGTCCATGAGTTGACAATTAGGGTCGGAGCTCTGCATCCTCTCTCCCTCACTCAGGATCAGATACAACAGTGTCACACCAAACTAGACAGAAACAGAGTGGTGTGTGATGTGCTTTGTTAAAGTGCAAGGTTCTCCTTGTTCTATGTTTTTCTCATTGTCAGCGACTCTCAAATAAAGACCAAAACCATTTATGTTTTTCTGTATTAATACTTTTTCACTCAATACCAAGTCCACTGGGCTCCTAATAAAAACATCGATTATCCTAACGAGGTTCATGGGGCCAACAGAGCAGCCCCGGCTGACATTGGGTGAGAGGCGGGGTACACCCCTGGACAGGTCGCCAGTCTACCACAGGGCTGACAAGTAGACAACTCCCACACTCACTCCTATGCCAATTAACCTACACTGCACATCTTTGGACTACGGGAGGAAGCCGGAGAGAACCCACACAGGCCCTGGGAGAGAACATGCAAACTCCGCAGAGAAAGGCACCGTGTCGGCCGGGCTTGAACCTGGAACCTTCTGGCTGTGAGGTGACAACTAATAAAAACAAATCTTTAAAAAAGTGTTCATACTGTATATTTTTTCCTTTTAAGACCACTTTCCTAAAGCAGATGGACACTGTCAAGCAGAGTAAATGATGCGTTTGTTGGGGACTATTTTCAGGTGCAGATTAATACACAAGTGGTGCACTAAACAGCGTTTATGACAGCAGGATACCATATCCAGGATGGAGATAAACAACAGGGATGCGTGTTTATGCTAATTAAGGGACATGTCACTCAGTAATAGTGTGGCTCACTAATGCATTTTGAATAGTTTATAGGTGACAGTGCAGCTCTATGGCACAGAATAATGAGCTGTGTGAAGGAGTGGATAGTTTCACTCTCTTTAATGCAATATATAATCAACAAGGAAGGCGCAGAACATCATCAGCATCAACCTTTCACATCACATAAGCATCGGTCTTAGTTAAAAGTCTGTGGTGAGTGCAGGCAACTTTGTCACTGGACTCCAGTACAGTATAGGCATCAGTTCACTGTAGCTCCATTTGGTTAAACCAGTAATTGGTTTGAAGCAAGACTATTATTAATTCAACATATATATATATATATCAGACCAAAGGATCATCTTTCTTCATTGCTCTTAACAAATTATGATGTCTTGCATCACTCTGCAAGGTTCTCTCTCTCTGTGTGTGTGTGTGTGTGTGTGTGTACCTTGTTGTGCAGTACTTTGGCCAGTTGGCCCTCGTTGCCTTGCAGCTCCTGGAGCAAGTCTGTGAGTGTGGAGCTCGACAACGACTGGATCACTGCAGACACTGGCTCCACTAACCAGCACAGCACCTGAACCAGAGAGCACAGACAGAAGCTGGTTAACAAAGTGCAGGTTTACTGAAGTGGCTAAATGTCTTGGTGTCCTTGCACATCACAACTGTCTCTGAAATTAGCTGAACCTGGCAAAGGTAACTGGCGTCATCCCATCTTCTCTATTCCTTACTTAAAAGAACAGACATTCTGCTATTGAAATAGCAGCGGATCCTCCACCTAACATTCTGCAGCACCCCCTTCAGGTGTGATGGAGTCTCAGCTCTTTGCACATATGCCGATCAGGCATAACATTATGACCACCTGCGCATCTCTGTGCACTTCAATGCAACACTTCTGCCTCAACATTTGTGTTTATGAAGCTCAAAATGTTTGTTTTTGGTGAGATTGTCATAAGTGTATAAATTCAATTATATGTTCATTATTGAGGTTATAGTTAAAGGTGGTGTCGTACTGGACTACATTATATTCAGAGGGGTCTGTATATTTTTGTCCTGCCTATTGACATATCTGAGAGGGTCAGAATATTAGGAACAACTCTGAATGCAAGCTCTCCAGAGGAACCTTTTCTCATAAATACTGTGGCCTGTCTACATGCTTTTAATTATCAGTTTTTCATTGTTTCTCTTTATTAAGCGGGTTCTTTTTCCATGGAGCCCGTTTTCCTTCAGAAAGCCTCCTATGGTACAGCTGAACACTGTTGTACCTTGATTATGGAAATTGACTTGTATCAGTTTCTCTTGGTTCTTTCTCCAAAACTCAACTCATCAATTTTCCTCTTGCTGCTACGTCCAGTGAACCTGGCTACAGTCCCAAGTCAGTGAACTGCTTGTAGGTTATGGATACATTCTAACTAAATAACAAATGCAGTAAGAGCGCAAAGGCTTTCAGCCACAGTAACGTGTCCCTATCTCATACTCAACACTATATTTCACAGGCAGATGTCCATCATGCATTTCATTATCAACACACTTATTTGTCTTTCACGTATTACAGTCCTACTGCCATGGACTTTGACCTGGACACCACTCAGAGTACAGACAGTGTGTGATGGGTGCTCACTGTTCCTCTACAGTCACATTTCTGAAAGGCACCTTGGGGATTTGCATGAGATTCACTAAAACAGCCTGGAGTTTTGTGTGAAAATAGTGTCACATCTAGGACTAGTTACCTGGTCCTGCTTGTCCTTCTTGACCAGGGCAGGAAGGTTGCGGGCAATTGCCATGACAACTGCGGCAGCCTGGGATGCGGGAAGAAAGGGGAGAAGCCTGGCAATCAGCCGCTTGCCCTTCCTCACGGACATGATCATCACACACTGCTCATCACTCACTCTTATCAAGAGGAAGAAACAAAGAATTAGTGTAATAAGAAAAAGGACTGCCAAATGCTGCTCTTGTATTTCAGCTCTTCCTTTTTGCCCATTTATTCCCTCCCTGCCTCCTACCTGTCATCCCACTCCTTCTCCTGCAGAGAGTTGCACAGCTGCATGGTGTTGGTTTTATGCTGCTCCAGCAGAGCCTCTCTGTCTTCCTCTGGTGCCAGGACAAAACGCTTCTCAAAGTCTTGAACCTCCAGCAGCAAACTGTACATCTGGAGGACAGGACAGAGAAAAGGGTCATATATATGTATTTAGGATCATCCTGCAGCTTGATTGAAGCCATCCTCGTCCTACCTTCTCCACAGTGTAGAGGATCTGTCGCCTCTTATTCCAAACCTGCTTCTCTCTTTTCTCCTGGAGGCAGACACACACACAGACAGTCATGTAAATTGACCAGCAGGACTTCAGTTCTGCTACATAATAGTGAGGTGGAAAGAAAAACGTTCTATGCAGTACTGTGATACAATGTATGAGCTAACCAGTCACAAGGCAAATAACCGGCTTTTCTATCCATGTGACCTAAACAATCAGCTATATGCCCACCACAACATTAAAGCTACCTGTTGGTTTTAATGCTGTGGCTGATTGGTGTAATACTGGGTGTTTACATGTGTTTCATGCTCAGCTACATCAGTGGAGCACAGATGGAAACGCATTTAACACCCATTATTAGCAGCCTACTTTACACGAGCAACCTTTATATTCTAGCATCATAATAGAACCTTAAATAATGTAATGTTAACCACATTACTTAAAATCAGGTACATCTTATTTCTAGTTTCATAATTTCATACATTAACTAAAGTTAAAGGTTTAGTTCTCAACTTCCCTTCTTCTGTAACTCCAATGTGTCTTTTCGATAATCAAATTAGTTGTCAGCTACTTTTATTATTGATTTTATCAATTAGTTGTTGCAGCCGTACTCTGTAAAGGCACAGTGTTGCTTATGTAAACTCAGCTCCTTCCGAAGCTGCTTAACAGCACTGCAGTGAACAGAATGCTTGTGGCTGTTACTGTAAAAGCAGCTTCACAAAGTGCTCGGGGGTAAACATTGAATCCATCCTAGCTCGTACCTGTATTTTTAGGCAATTTAACCCTCTTACTTTGTTTTACAGAACCAATCTGCAACTGCAGAATAAAACAGCTGTTACAAACAGCTTGTTGACATTTTGAAGAAAACAAGGAAACATGCAAGCAGACCTCGTCATCTGTTCGAGTTGTCACCACAGCATCAATCATCTTGCGGGGGTTGTTGACGCTGGAGACTGTCAGTTTCCCCAAAGAACCAGCAAACTGAACTGTTGGCAAACACAAGTACACATTCAACCGATTCCAGCAGCGTGTGTGTCATGTACTACTGACAACAGATCATCAGGTGTGTTCTGCTGTCACATACCTGGTCTGTAGGTGTGTTCTACTTTGGCGACCTGTGGAGTGATGAGTTTGGTGGTGTGTTCCTTTTTGCTGCTGTCTCTTTCTCTTTCCTGACGTTTCTCCATCTTTTCATAGTAGTTCTACACAAACACACACAATAGGTGTTAGTGAGCCTCAAACTACTGGGTATGATTACTATCAAACTTTACAATATAATGGACCAAGCATTTTGACAAAAAAAAAAACTTGTGCAGCCCCATGTGACATCTTCAAATATAATCAGTCAAATTTACCACACTTGTAACAGAAAAACTCCTCCTCACATCTTTGACTATGGCTACATTAGTCTGTCTAAATTTAAAATGCAGCTTTTGTGAATAAAAGATTTGTGTCTCCATTAGCGCTTCCAGGTCATTTCTATAGTGTCCCCTCTAGGGCTAAAGGATTTCAGCTTCAGTGAATAATATTTTGAGCTCAATACACAAACACAGCTGGGAAACTACATGAAAAACCAACCTGATAGTAGTAGTCATCCAGGTAAGGGTCAGTACTTTGGAGCTGCATCATTTGGATCTTGGTTACCCATTCCTTCTCCTTCTGTGTCATTAGGTTACTATAGGGGTCCCTGCTGCATCGGTCCCCTCCAGTCCTGCTACGGTCTCTACAAGCAGGTGGAGAGAAAATAGGGCAGCCACATTTAGTAGATGTAATCAATTACACTGACTTTGAAACTGCATTGACATTGTTTACCAATGCACCGTTTAAGATTTTATGAACTGTTTGATCTCTAAACCTCTTCATTCATTAAAATAAACGTTTTTCTTCATCATCACTACGTAGCAGGTTGCCAAGTGTCCATAAAATCCACAGAGGAATATCACTTCATAGTTGCTGCAGGCTTGTGTCAGTTGTTTTTGGCTCCAGTCAACACTAGTTTTAGAAAATCATGGTGACTGCAGCAGAGTGTGACTCGTTTGCAAAAGAGGTTCTGTTTAAGTTTCCAAGGCTTCGAAATGAGTACTTCAAAATATCAGAAAACAACAAGGAGGTTTTGTACAGAGCAAAATTTCACTGGCATAATGTTACCACAGCAGCACTAGTGCTATCCACAAGCACCCAAGGAGAAAACACACAGGTAATATTCTGGATGATGAACCACCAGAAGAGGCAAAACCACTGTAAGTGTTGTCTATTCATGTTTATTAAATTAATATTAGTGGGGAGAGCTTTTTAACAGATTTTGTCCTGGTAGCTCATCATTAAAACCATAAAGTTGGTATCCTGTTACCTTAGAATTTCTACTGCAGTTGTTTAGGCTTATTCCACATTGACGATGCCAGTGTGTGCGCACTGTGTTTGTGCCTTCTTTATGCATACTATGGTTCATGCACGTAGTGTGTGTTTGTGTGTGTGTGTGTGTGTGTGTGTGTGTGTGTGTGTGTGTTGGCATGTCCCTTTTTGAAGGACAATTACTCCTTTAGATTAATCAACTAATTGGTTAAAGAGCCAATAGATTAATTAATAAAAAGAACAGGTTTTAGTGGCAGCTA